ATATATATATTTATTTATTTACTTTTGTTATTTAATGATTATGTATGCTTATGTATTATAATATTATATGCTTATGTTACATTTAGGGAAAAGTATAACACATGGTTCAACGAAAATATGTTTCTAAACTTCATATCTTTTGTAAAAATATATATTGATTTCTATTTATCCGAATTTTATATTTTATGCTTATGCATATAATGATTATATAATTTAAATATATAAAGAATTTAGCATCATCTTATACATGAATATAATAAAAAAATTCCATTAATATTACTATTTAATGATATTATTATATTATATAACTCTCATGATAACTTTAGTTTCATTTTGTATTCCCCCTGACTATTATAATTCTATTAATGTTATATTATTCTATATATACCAATGAGATTTACATAAATTTATTAATAATACATTCTTACCAGCATAATTTGTAATATTTGAATAATCCATTTATGTTATGTTACATATTAATTAGATATATAAGCATTTGTATTAAATTTATCTAATTTATCCCATAGCTATATGTTTAAGAACACAATTAATAGAATTAACAAATTTTTAGAACTAAATATTATAAGTATATTTCTACGTTATATTACATTAAAGTAAATATGTTTTGTTATTTATATTTATTTGATGAATAATTTCATTTTCTATGCTATTGAGGTGTATAAAATTGTAAAAAAATAATAATCTTTTGAAGAAGCATAATACATAAAAAATATGTCTCTATAATTAAGTTTTTTGATAATTTTATTTATTAAATATTAATGTATAATTATTTATTATTTGATAGTATCTATGCTTATTGTTTATAATGTGACCGTATTTAAAATTTCATATTATATATATTTTATTAATTATTATAAATATTCATGAATTAATTTTATGATTTTATTATTATGATTACTTTTGTTTGTCTATATGAATATTTTTTGTATTAACTAAATACATATATAATTATAATTTATCTGTAAAAACATATTTTTCTTTATACAATGATTAATATTATGCTCTTATTAATTCTATTTTTCTGAATAATAGTCTATTCTATAGTTTCTCTTATTTGAATTTGCGTATACTCTATCAATTGTATCCTTTATATTTGTATTATACTTATATTTTTTGTTCATCCTTATCCTTATCTTTTGTACAATTAGTTGTAAAAATGAGGCATAACTTGTATACTGATAATAAAAAATAATAATTTATATTTGTAAATGGATTATTAATTTGATATAAATTATATATTATATTGTGTAATATAAATTTCAATTCAATATATATTTAATAAATTAAAATTATTTTTAACCTTAAAAAAAATGAAAATAATTATTAAAATTGCTGTGGTTGAAACACACATACCAGTAACTGTACCTGAACCTGCTTCTGAAGAAGAATATGACTGTTCTGGTGAAGGAAGACATTCAGATTTTATCTGAAGATATTTTTCGTACTTAACATTAACTTTATCTAGCTCTTCCTAAAACTTTGGTTATTATTCATACTTTCACTTATTAGTAAATGACTTATATATTCTTTAACAAGGCTAATAGCGGTATGGCAACCCACCTTTGATTTATTAAATTCGTTTTCTATATCATATAGTTTCTGTAAATATTCAAATTGTGTAAATATACTTTCATCATTATTATTAATATTCTCCAGGTATTTTACACATACACCAGGTACATCCATTCTACTTGGTGTATATTTTTTTCTCATTTGTTCATAACAGTTTATTGTTGTTGTGCATTTCCCCCCAAAATTTTTCCTTAGTTCTTTTAGTTTGTAATAGAAATATTTACAACTTGCTTCTAGACGTTGTGTTAAGTCTGATTTTGTTGCATATATATCCAATAAATATAAACAAAGTTGATGACATTTATTATGAAAGGCCGTTGAATTATTAAATTGTAATTCATTCGTATAATCACTGCACACCGCTGAACAAGGTGCAAGCCATTGTCTCCTCATTCTACGGTAAAGAGCCCCATTATAATCATAACGACACTGTGGAAATATATTCATGAAATCAAACTAAAAATGATGGTATAATAAATGCAATGAATTTTAGGATATATAATTAGGACAACATTTTTTTCATTGTTTTCACAAAATTCCGCCTTCAAAATATCTTATAAATATTAAAATTTAGAAAAAAATTATAACATATCTCTTTCACATTAGATGTGCTCTGCATTAGTTTTTTTTAAATGAGAACTAAAAAAAATAGTTTCTATTTTCATTTAACACATTCGTTCATATGATAAAAATATCATATAAGTCATTATACATTACACCATAGTGCAAATGCTTATAACTATATATTTTACAGAAAATATTGAAATTTATGCTTTTTATTTATTCTTATTATAGACTGTATTCTTGTAACATATTTATATCGTTATTTATAGATGCATACTATTAAATAAATACGTATTAAAAATATTAAATTTGTATAAAATAAATTATGAAATAATGTAAAGTAATAAAAACTATATTGTAATAGATTAATACATATAATATAATTTTAATATATATTCATTTCCTATAAGAAATAAAATGTTTTGCTTATTGATATAATAATTAATTTTAGTCCACAATATTTATATAACGTTATAATAACTTTTTAATAGGGGGTATATTAATAAAATATATACATTTATTTCATGACGGACACATATTATATTATTTACAATTCGTATACATATATATATTCTCCATATAAAGATGTGATTTATCCTACCAAAGTATTTTATATTTAAACTTGATATATAATATATACATGGATTGAATTGTGTATAAAATATATAAGGCATATGGTTCAATCTAAACCTAAATTTTAAATAAACAAATATATATATATATATATATTTTTAACTTATTTATTTAAGAAAAATAGTTTCTTTTCTCACATACGAATATTTTATTATTAGTAGTATATTATCACTGACATAAGTATAAATACTTCGAAATATGTGGTTGTCATTTATATATAATATATACTCAAAGATTTTGTTTTTGTAATAATATAACATTTATTGTCTTATAAGATATAATGCACTAATAAATTGAATAATGTAATTGGCAAAATTGCTATTTTTATGATATTGTAAATATAATTATATATTCATTTATTAATAATAAAAATAAAATTATTTATATTTCTTCTTTTAAATTCATTTAATTTTTCTACTTTTGAGCACTTCATAAATTAAAATCATATTTATATGTTATGTCAAATGAAAATATTCGAATATCATATAAATAAATTCATTTAGTATACATAAAAATGAAAAAAAAAATATGAAAATTTTCTTTATATTTTAGTATCCTTTTTGTACACATAATATAATTTTTCTTAATTGAATTAATTTCTGATTTTTCTTTGACTTATTATAAAAAAAGAGAAATCCATATTATAGCTATATATTTAATCAATATATGATCATTCAAAAAATTTATTTTAAATTATATTTTTATTGAAAGCGATTTATAGAAATAATAGTTTTTTTCCTTAGGAAATTATTAAAATATTGATAACGTGTTACTAATGTTAATTTTAAAGGGAGCTTCAATGGAGTATTATGTTAAATAAATAAATAAATAAATTTTTTTTATTATATAATATATTACTTCAGGATATAATAAGTGTCATGTTTATATTAGGATTTATTATATGCGATAATTCATATTTTATTTTTCCAATATAATTTTTGTTCATTATATCTAGAGGAATTAATATGTAAGTTTGATGTTATTATTGCATTTATTAGTGTATTATATTTGTTATAATAATTAAATTCATAATATATTCATATTAATAAATCATAGTATTAAATAAATGTTATATAATTTTTAAAAATATATATAAATAAATTTTTTTTAAATTCAAACATATATATAAGAAAAAGAATATATTGTAAACATTATAAATTGTATAATATAATATATCGCCTTAAAAAAAGAATACTCAAAATAGATGAAAAAAAAATGTACAAAAAATATATATATTCCTAATTATATTATGAAATTAAAAAATATATATGTATATAAACACAATAAGGTTAAATGAAACATACATGTCCATATATTTTCATTTTTTTATTATACATATTCTAATTTAATATAGTGCTTTTTCCAATAATATAAATATATATATGTTATATATAATATACATAAATATGTTATTTTATTGAGAATACATGTGAAATATATTATCTGCTAAGTTACCTTCATTCATTTTTCTTATTGTAATTCATTATGCAAGATTAACTAATAATTCCTAACTTAATTAATATGAATACATGTTTTTTATATTATTCTTTTTATAAATGTTTTAATTCGGATATTCATGATTTATCAGATGAACCAGCTTCAATATATTCAATGCTTTCATTAAAATGTTGATAAATAAGGCTTTTTGTTAATGAAAATCCTTTTTAACCTGACCATTAATCTAGTAGTTAATGTAATTACAACATAGATTTAGATCACAATAATTATTAGTAGTGAATTGCACAAAATATTATTTTATATTAATATAATTTTGTTTAAAAATATTGAGTCTTTCCTTTTTAATATTAACAGAACTATAACTAACGAAATTATCAATATCTGTAGTATTTGAAATAGATATTTTTGGTATATCGAATAAATCCTTAAAAAATATATAATAACTTGAAATATAATACTAATAAAAAATATAGTTGTTATTATAAATTCATGTATTAAAGAAAATTTTATTAAATTAAAATTTATTGATAAATTTTGCATATTGTTATTTACGCAATTATATAGTATAAGTCTAATCCAAAAAAGTAGGATGTAACTTCGTATTATTTGCTTTATGTGCCATTATGTTTTAACAAAGAAAAAAAAAAATTTTATAAATCTTGATACTACTATTATTGATTTACTACTGTATCAAATAATAATATACATATGTGTTATTTTTTTTCCTTCACGAATTTTTGTATTTAATTATTTTTAATGTAATTTATATATAATAATTTTATTTCACATAATAAATTATTTTATCGTATAATGTTAAAATTTAAAAATTATGAAATTGAGCACACTACATACAAAATTTTTTTTATGACAAACAAAATATATTATATAAACCAATATTCAGTAGACGTGCTTATTAAAGTAAAACATATATGATCAATTTATATTAAATTAAGAATTACATCAAAAATTCATTAAAATTATAATAAATATGTATAGTATTAAGGAAATCATTACAGTAAAAATATATAATTATATATCATTCATTTAAAATAATGGAATCTATTACATTAAAAAATTTTTTAGTATATGATTATATAACAGTTCATTATTATTAATTACATTACAGATAATAAAAATTGAATGTATATTATATTCTTTCTAAGTTAAGCTAAGAATAGAATTTCATTGTGCATTACGGCTAAATAAATATGATTTATTTGTATAATATATTTTTAATGCATAATTAAAAGATTATATACATATATATTAAGAAAAAATGAATAATATGTGTCAATACTAAAAGGAATATATTTTATTTTGAAACATTTATTATATCAAATTCATCAATTGTAAATAATGCAAGTTATATTTTTTAAGCATATATTCTCCCTCTAATATCGATTACATATATATTCATATGTGTCTACTAAAATTTATGAATATCAGAATTCATAATTTGAAATACATATTATTTAATCATAAAAAGTACGCAATAATAAACACTTTTTAATTTGTTTATTTATCAATATATTTATTTTAGTTCATTGATTTATAGTTTATAGTTATGTATATATATTCTAATACCTAGTGCTAATTTTTACCTTCTATCATGAAGATTATGTGGATTATATTTTTTACTTATGGTTATAGTGTTTAACTATTATATTTTTCTGTTTTTGTATATGAAATTTCATGATTTTTTTTATTTAGTGTATACCTTTTTTTTTATGGGTTTTGTTGTATTTAATGGGTATTATTTTTTTATTATATTTTATTTCAAGTGATTAATATATTCTTTTCATTTTATAAGATGCCTTATACTTATTTTTCTTAAATATTTAATTTGATATATGTATTTATTTTTTTATATACTATTTAATCAGGATAATTGTATTCTTTTAATATATTTTATTTATCATAGATTTGATTATATTTAAAATAAATTATTTTGCTTATTATTATACATATATTGAATTTTTCATTTGTATCAATTTATAAATATATTAAATACCATTTAGATATGTTTTTTACGTTTTAATTTATCTTTATATTCTGTATTTGATTCATGACGTATTCGAATAAGATGTAAAATGATTTTGCATTTTTATCAAGATCTGACATAATAAATATATATTTGTTTTAAATTTCGGTGATATTTGTATACTAAATATAAAAATATGGTTTTGTTAATATAGAATATATACATTAAAAGAAATAGATATAGCAATAATTTTATATCACGATATTTTATATTATATATATTAGTAATTTCCTTATTAATTTTTTGAGCTCTTTTCTGGATTAGAAATTTTCAAAATATAGGTTACATAAAAATATTGTATATTTTTATTTGCATTTTACACATACATAATAAATAAAATAGTTATATATAATAATCTAATTAATGATATTGTATAGTATTTTTTTATTTAAATCTTAATTATATGTACTCAAATCTATATTCTTGTCTCATATATCAATATATATGCTCTAATAGTATGAATTTAATGAATTATTTTAATATTATGTATAAAATATTTGTGAATATACGAAATGTTTTACATATTTCAATAAATAATAAAAAAAAAGAAATTTCCATTGAATTTAATATTTCAATTGATTAAGTATTTTTTTTTTAATAGTTTAAATATATAATACTGATAATGTTTAATTTACTGAATGTATAGTTGAACTAATGAATACCAGAATATATGAAATTATTAATTTCCTTAATTTTATTAATATATTAAAAATTATATATTTTTTTTGTTATATAACATTATCATACTCATGATGTAAAAATAGAACCATATATATATATATTCAATTGTTATATTTTTTATTGATATAACTTCATATTACAGAGCAGTATATGTTTATATTTTAGATGTGTAAATTTTAATATTCGAAAACAGTTTTACGTATTTTTATTTTAAGGAACAGTAAATTAATATAATATTTTTATATAATGAATGTATCAAATATTTATCACATACAAATAAGCATTATGAATAAAATTCAGGCAAGCATATAAAAAAAATAAACTTAAGAAAATAAGAATAGATGAATTATTAAATCTTATAGAGAAAGAAACAAAGACAATTACAACAATATTAAGTAAGCTCAAGAAAATTAAGTTAAGACAGTTAATAAATTACGTTAGATGTAGCACGAATGCCCTCTGCAAATTATATCATGCCATTTTGAAATCGATTTATTAGAAATTTATATTTCATCTAATAAAATGTTAAAATCTATAATACATATTAAAATAATATATGAAATGATATAATTCAGATGTTTTACTTTTTTTGCGCTTTTATTCCTATTATATGTATGTCAATAAAAATTTCTTGCAATGAACTCTACAAATAAAAATGAATTTCTTATATATACAATAATAACTTCATTATAGTTATTAAAAAAGTTTATTTATATTGTTATGACGATGATAAAACACAATATTTTAAAAAATAGAGATATGAATCCACAATAACTTATTACATTAACCATATTATATTGTTATATTCACAAAACAAAATCTTCTATAGAAGTACAAAAGATATTACATGTTTAATAATGTTTTAATTCATTTTTTATTGTGTAAAACAGATATATAATTCTCAATATTTATGAATTAAATTTTAATGTATATATAATTGAGGAAATATTTTTTCTATGTTATGGATTTTTTATTTCTAAACTTATCATTGCATAGATTTATCTGATTAATTTTATTCTTATAATACCCATATATTTTTATATAATTATTACTAAGATATATATGTACATACTATTATTTCATCTTATCTATCTTAAAAATATATCATTATTCTTACATATTAACTAATAGTAGGCGATTACATTGTCACCTTGACTTGTTATATATATATGATAATTTTATTTAAAATCGTTTTCCTAAATTATTCCCAGCTTAGTGTACTTGGAAAAATATCTCTAGTTTTACATTAATGTTTCTACGTTACAAATGCGTCTAATAAATGGAGAAATATTTATTTTCTTATATTATAACTATAAATATGTCTAATTTATTGCTTTAGAAAAAATATTTTTATTTTTTTATTTATATAACGTGTTAGCAGATGAGCAAAATATATCGCAGATAATTCATAGGACATTCGTCAAAAGTAAATGTTTTTAACTGTATTTATACTGTGTATATATACTAATATAATTATACAAAATCTATAATGTTATATCATACATTACCAAAGAACCTGATTGAAATTTCAATAATCAATATAATACATTAATATAAAATTATTTCTTCCAAATGTTCTGCAGATAGAAAAAATTCTAATATGTATTTTACATATTGATAGATATGTAATTATAAATTATATATACTTTTAAGTTGTTGTTATAATAATTTAAAGGTATTCTGTAAAAAAAAAGATAAATTTTATTCTAAACAGCACTAAGAATCATATAAATGTCAGGGAATCATTGGACCAAATAAAAATTTATAATTCTACATCCAAAATTTGTGTTGGCATAATAGATACTATATAGATGTTTTATTGGATATTATTCTTGTATTATATTCTTTATAAATTTTTTTTTATTAACAAAATCCATATAATTTTATATAAATATATTAAATTTAAATATATATTAATATAAAATTCTTTTGATTTTTTTTTTTTTTTGTATTTTATTAAAATAATAATTTATTGCATATGTATAAGTGATGCTTAAGAAATATAACATGTAAATAAAAACAGAAAAAACATTATAGACATTTCAGCAGAAGGGTTTTCTACAATAAATTAATTATGTGCAGAATTTTATAAATTCATACCTATAAAATTTAGTGAATGTCTTAATCTTGTTTACATATGATACTCTGTTATATAATTTAACATATAAAATAAAACATTGTAAAAGGTATATATTTTAAATATTTTATATAAGTTTTATACATAATTTATCATTGAAAACATATAGAAACCATTATGCATTAAATGTCTTCATCTCACGGGAATATAAATATAATTATTTTATTATTATATGATATGTTAATATATATATAGGTTTTTTTGTATTTTCTTAATACACTATTACTAATGAAGATTATTTATTTTATAAAATTCATAGTTCTTCTAAACATATTACAGTTTCTGATATATTATTATATCGCGCCTTGTATTAATTTTAACCAATAAAAAATGGAAAATTCATTTGTATGATACTTTACAATTATGTAAAAAAATAATCATGTAATTTTTCGTTAAGATAATTTTTTAAAGGATTTGTAATAGGAAGAGTAAATGTAATAAACAAAAAAAAAAAAAATATAATACATTATATTTGTTGTGATTATCTAATTTAGGTGTAATTAAAATATTCTGTGTAATAAATATATATTTTTGCTACAATAAATGTGGTGAAATATAAAATTAACATTAAATAATGTAAAAAAGTTATCAATTATCATTGATCATACATTATATGTAAATTATTATTCATAAGAAATAATTCCTATTATTTTATAATTTATGATTATAAAAATTTTTTATTCCAAATATATTGTAAAAAATATGTAATATAACTTATAAATTTAATAAAACGTCTTATGCAAAATATTTATATGTTAATATTCATATATAATTCTATTTCAGTATTAGAAGTACAAATAAAGCGATATTTTCTAGTAGGATTCATGAATTATACAATTCATATTTACGTAGATGTAATGATTTTCTCATTATTCTTATTTTATATGTATGATTATCAAAATAAAATATTATTTTAACTTTATGTTGATCACTAATATATTATTACGCAGAGTGAACAAATATATTTGTACTCCGTGTATTACATAAAATAAAGAAATATTTTTAAAACATACAAAAATCTCTTTCGATTCTAATAATAAGCACACAAATTATAAAATATATTTTTGTAACAACAATTATGTTCTTATATCGTGTGCGATATTATTCAAATAAATAATTATAAATTAAAAGTAAATGAAAAAGATTCCTATAAATATAAATATCAAAAATACATAATTAATTATAATGTTATCTATATCGTTATAATTGCATTTTTTTCCTTCAAAAAAAAACTGTAAATTATGTACCTTAAAATTAAAATTATATGTAAAATATGAATGAGAGAATTACAGATAATAATTTATATTGTTCATCAAATACGTATATTACTTATATTGAATAAATAATATAATAAAGTAATACATATTTTACTTAAATATATATTGTAAATAGTATTGAACTTACTAACTAATTTTGAAACTTTAAAACGCTATTCCTATATACATATGAAGCCAAAATATTTAAACATAAACTTAAAACCTGAAAACTAAACTCTGAACCGTGAGCCATAAAATTGAAGTATTTTTGATAAATTCAATAAATGTAACTTAATTCGGTTTATTAATTTTTGATTATTTGTTACATGAGAACAACTAAATTGTTAGTTCATGAAAGATAATAACTTTATATATTTTTATATTTTATCTTTTTAATTAGGTTAAATATATATATAAAAAATGTAATGTAAATAATCAAACGTAAAAAATATATATATAATCAAATTAATATCATTAATTCGAACAATATACATGTGCCTTTTTCATTGATTATTTTTGTAAAAGTGTAAAATTTCGGAAATGTCTGTAGGTTTAACGTTATTTTTTATGGACATATAAATATATTTAATCTCAATATCATGTTTATTATATTCATGTTTGTTTTAAAATAATTAAGAATACATTTACAAAATATATCATTAGAGCTATATGTTATGCTGTGAAATAATTTGTTACTAACTGGTGCCGTGACATTTTAAGAAAAATTCTATAATGATAGAAAAAAATAGTTTTATGATACCTAACAGCTTTCATCATTATATTATAAACATACATACATACATACGTGTTCATATATTTTACAATTTCATATAGATCTCCTTAAACATATTATAAAGTTTCCTGAAATGGGGAAATCTATTGTAAATTTGAACTATTAAATTATAATTTAAAACATTATTATATTTGTATATTCAATTATTGAATGATTTTATTAAAACCTATTAATAATATAAATTTATTTATTAGATTAAAAATTTTTTTTTTTACTTGTTTTAGTATGATGTTTTAAAAAAATTTCCTGAATGTAAAGAAAAGATGGATACACATATAAAGCAAATCAGTCAAGGACAAGGAGACTGGGCACAGACAATATGTAATAAAGATACAAATGAATTTTTAAAAAAAGTTTTAATAGTTCACAATAATAAACAAGTAAGCAGCTGTCTCGCAGCCATGAATTACTTAGCCGCCGTTTATCAGAGAAATGATGAAAGTTTAAATGATGCCGGTTGTGAATATCTTTATTATTGGATTTATAATATACTGCCTAAAAATGATGGCACTGATATAAATGTCGATGTTAAAAATGTTTATGATGCATTACTTCATATATATACTAAGTTTTTAAGAGATAATCAAATTTCTGATGTAAGAATATGCAAAGGTCTTGAGGATCCGGTTATAGATATATATAATCCAGAAATCAAAGATATATATGATATGTACAAAAAAATATTTAAAAAGGAATATAATCAAAGTGACATTTTTAAAGATGTGGTAGATATGATAAATAATCACAATACAGTAATAGGAACTCTAAATGGTGAAATTAGTACATCAAGAATAACAACTCCTTGCCCAAGAAACATTGCAGCTCCTATTATGATTACATTTGTAGTAACAGTAATAGTATCAATTTTTATATTTGTTCTACTTAAGGTTAATTAATATATTATTTGAATATATTTTTGTTGTAAAATAATTTTTTTGCATAGATTGTAAGAAAAGCATTATCACAAAAAGAATAATATACTTCATGCATATTTTCCTTATGAATTAGTTCTCAGAATGTGGTTTATGGATTCGGCGTGCTATAGTATGGAAAAGAAATCATTGGGATAACATAAGTGAAGAAAGAAATATATATCAAGGTCCTGAAATATCTAATAGCTTTTTAAGAGATAGTAGATATAATGTATTGTACAATTATCCATAATTATACATTTAAATATATAATTACATGAAAATGGTTTACTTAGGGCACAAAAAATATCATAAAAAAATTGTGGATAATATTATTCGGATAATAATGCATAATAAAAAAAAAGATCAATATAGCACAATAAAACAAGAATGAGTATTACTTTTTTAATTTAATATGATATAGTTTAAAAAATAATATTAATTTTAAATATGTAAATAATTAAGCTTATAAATGCTGAATAATAATTCTATTAATACTATTGTAGGTTTCCTTGTCTTAAATAGGCATCTTCCAGAAAGCAGTTATTTTTTCTGCCATGAAAAAATATATTATAAATAATAATTCACATTGGACAATATATTAATGTATATGTGAGGTACAAATTTTGATAATTACATAATATATATGATACATGGTATATCGTTATATAAGATAGAAATTTATTTAATAATATATTTGAAAAGCGCACTTTCTATTATAAAAAACCGTATTAATAATTAATTTTGTACTATTTCATAATATTTTTTAATACTGAGCATATTATATTGCTATAGGTTTAGGATTCATGGTTTAGGTTTCAGGGGGTAGGGTTCAGTGTTTTAGGGTTTCATATATACATTTATGATTTTATATTTATATTTATTATTTGCTTTACTTCTTTTAAATTTTTGTTTTAGTACATTGTTTTGGAATTATAATATCTGTTTTATGTGTTTTTATTAGAATATATATATATTTTTATTACACTTTTATTTTAATGTTATGTATGCAGATGCGTATTCTGAAGATCTATGAATTTTTATATATTTTATAATTTTAATGTTAATTATATGGAGAATTATTTTAATAATAATTTATTTTTTATATAGAATATAAAATATATTCTGCTATATATACTGTTGTATTATTTTTTTTATTATTGAAAACTGTGTTTTCTATAATATGTTAATATTGTTTTATAGTACATATATATTAGATTATATATAAAAATTTAGTTCTGCATTATTTTAATTATTTATATGTATCATTTTATAATTGTATACATTATTAATTCATGTAATTTATTAGCCATTTAACAATTAATATCCTAAAAAATACTTTATTTTTCTAATTTATAGCACTATTTATTCATATAATCTATATTATTTTGCATATAAGCTTATTTATA